TCATCACATTTAAAATTATGAATTCTCTGATGTGGGTCTTTCTGATTTAATATCAGAAAAAGGAGAATGGCTCTCTAAAGATATACACAATGATTTTTAAATTATTATATTTAAAATTCATACTTGTGTATAATATGTTAGGATCCAATCTACCCAATACACCCTCACCTTCACATGTTCTCTTTTTTTTTAAATTAATACCTACTAAGAACATTTAATTCTGTGTGTGTGTGTGTGTGTGTGTGTGTGTGTGTGTGTGTGTGTGTATCTACCCAAGCATGGGTAGCTTCCCAGTGCCTGTATCACTAATGGAAAATGATTCTTCCTTTTTTAGTAGCTATTGACTGCCAATAGCTCCTGATATATGGGTGGAACTTCATGAGATCCTCTTCTAACCATGCTGGTAATTTGGTTGGTTGGCTTGAACTTGTGCCAGCCATTGTGAGTTTATATATGCGACTATAGTGTCATGACAAGCAATGGCCATTTAAGTAAAGGTATCTATTCCCTCTGGCTCTTACAATCATTTTACCCCTTCTTTCATAATGATCCCTGTGCCTCCAGTGAAGTGAGTATGCTATATCTGTCCCATCTAAAGTTAAGCACTTTACAGTCTCTGAGTCTCTGAACATTGACCAATTGTAGGAAGATTCTACAGTAGTAAGTTTCCATCTGGCATTTTCAAAGGCCTTTAGTGTTAGTTATCCTCCCGCCATGTTCCCTCTTCCATTGTCCTAGTAACCCATCTTATTATATGCATTCCTATTCCATTATTCCTCTCTGCCCCTTCTCTAATCATCTGTGTTATATCAGCCTCCCATTGAAATCCTCACATCATGGCCTTTTACCTCTTCCATACCTTCTCTGGGCACTCCAGTTTAAACACAAACATCTAATGATTCTACATTAACATACTTAACATACTCAGATGAGAGAAAACATGTGGTGTTAATCTTTCTGTGTCTAGGTTATCTCACTTAAAATGATTATTTCTAGTTGTATCTATGTACCTGAAGATTTCACAATTTCATTTTTCTTAATAGTTGAATAATAGTTCATTGCATAAACGTAGTAAAATTTTCATTATCCATTCATCAGTTGATAGACATATAATTTGTTTCTATTTCCTGGCTGTTGCAAATAGAGAAGCAAAGAACATGAATGAGCAAGTATCTCTGTAGTAGGATATAGAGTACTTTGGGAATATGACCAGGGGTGGTATATTAATCTCTAAGGAACAGACTTATAGAATAAATATATTTGTGTACGCATACACTATTTTGTAGCTGGAGAGTTTCTCTCCAGCTCCTGCCAAGCCCTAGCAGTCCCACAGCTCACTTATAAAATAAACATACAGATGCTTATATTATTTAAACTGTTTGGCCTTATGGCTCAGGCTTTTTGCTGTCTAGTTTCTATATTTCAAATTAACCCATATCTATTAGTCTATAAGTTGTCATGTGGCTCGTGGCTTAATGGTACCTTACATCTCACTTTTTATGGCAGAGGCTGGCAGCGTCTCTCTCTGCCTCAGCCTTCCACTTCCCGGCCCTCTCCTCTCTCTTCGTCGCACCTATACTTCCTGTCTGGCTACTGACCAACTAGCATTTTATTTATCAATCAATCATCCACAACACCATATATACATATACATATATGTATAAAAATGCATTAAAATGGCTTACAGGTTGTAGTCCAGTCAATCCTACAGCGGCTGTCTACCCACAGAAGTTCCAAGAATCCAGTAGTTGTTTAGTTCACAAGGTTGGATGTCTCAACTGATCTTCAGTATATGCCAGAATTCCAAAAATGCAGACTCTAATGCCAATGAAGGAATGGACTTGCCAGGGAGATCAAAAGCAGGCAAAGAGAGCAAGCTTCCTTCTTCAATGTCCTTTATATAGGCTACCAGGAGAAGGTGTGCCCCAGATTGAACATGGATCTTCTCACCTCAATAGATCCAGATTAAAATAGATCTTCCCTTTACAAATGAGTTAATTAAGAAAACAATCCTTCACAGTTATACCCAGCTGCTTGGGTTTTAGCTAATTCCAGGTGTAGTCAAGTTGACAATCAAAAATAGCCATCACAAGTGGTATATCTAGAGCATATGGTAGGTTTATGTGTTGCCTCTTGAAGAACCACTATAATGATCTTCATGGAGGCTGTGCTGCATTGTACTCTCACCAGCCTTGAACAAGTGTTAGCTTTCTCTGCATCCATGCTGGCAATTGGTGTGCTGCTTTTTAGCTACTCAAATACCAAATGTTTATAATGGTAGCTCATTTGCAGGTGTCTAGGAAGATCATTTAACATCCTACTTTGCTGCATCCTTTTGAACAGGATTTTCTGTGTAGTTTATACCTTTATGGGCCTGGAGATACAGCTCATTGATAGACTGGTTGCTGCACACGCGCATGTGTGTGTGTGTGTGTGTGTGTGTGTGTGTGTGTGTGCGCACGCGCTCGCCGCCTTCACCTCAATCCCCAACACCACAATATGCAAAAAGAGAAATGAAAATGGAAAGAAATAAGTAAATTATCCATCTCTAGCACTGTATTTGATTTTTAAAAACTCCAGGTAAATGCCAACTCCCAGGTCTACTATCCCAAGAAGGATCAACAGAAAAGCTCGGGGCAGATTTGTTGGTGTTATAAGCAAAAATGTTAAGAGAAGAGACTCTTTACAGTGCCCACTGTGGGTGTGGAGTTTCTACAGTGTGTATGTTGTATTTTTAACTCAGCCCAAGTTTATTAAATAGAAAAAAATCGAGTCCCACACAATATATCTTTCTTTATGTGCCTGCCAATATCTGTGTCTCATGACCTTGTTTATTGGAATGAATCTTTCTAAATGCAGAGAAGCGGGGGGAGAGGGAGGAGAGTTGCAAGAGGAGGAGGAATATGAGGACCTTTTTCTTATCTACTTCCCTATAAATACAATAAGAAAATTTATATTCAAATTAGGACTTTAAGAAGTTGATTTTTTTTCCTTTTAGAATTTTTGTCCTATTATCAAAATCAGAACTGATAGATGGCATGTTGATAGCTACCATAGATGTGGAAATCAGGAAGTCATGCCTGGCAATACCCTGAACAATCTTTGTGGTTCAATAAATGACCTTTATTCCAGGAGCGCTAGTTTCCTCATCAGGAAAATGGAGACATCTTACAGTATCTCTTACTTGCTTTCTTCTTACTAGGCTTCACTGTAAAATTTAGGGTATGTATGTGTGTATTATGTATGTACATGTATATCCACATATATATAGCACAATCTTGTCTTATAATAAGCAGTCCATTTTAAGCAATAAATTCACATAGGAGACATGATGTTTTCATGATGAAAACTGCATGCATATGTCAAAATATATAATGCTGTGTATTTTAACTGTGCACTGATTACTGTATATCAACTGTGCTTTTAAAAGCTCCAGTAAAAGAAAGCAAAAATGGTGCCTTAGCCTATTATCTTCAGAGAATAAAATAAACAACATGTTGGAGAAGGGGAAAAAATAAAAAAAAAAAAAAGAATGAGATGGATTTTCCTGTGTGTACTTTTTGGAACAATAAACCATTGCTGCTTGGACAAGTGGAAATAAACACATGAATCCTTTAGTCTCCACTCTACCTGCCACTGAATAATCTATGCAATTCATGGCTTTGAGACCAAGTGAATTCTCTTCACTTCTAATAGAATTTGTACAAACCTCTTGACTTGAATTGTGGCATGGTTATTCTTCATTGTTTGAAAATAAGAAGCTGCAGGTCTTCACCATTCTGTGCCTCCAGCCTGGAAGGGGGCAGGGGTCTGAGAGTCCCCTTGTGACTGGCAAGAGGAAATTCTGTTTACCTGCCAATAAAGGCCTGGAATAGGCACAGTAAAGTCCAGACAAAGCGTGGAAGAGAAAAACAATTCAGTCAGACAGACCACAACAAAAAAGTAAATTTCTCTGAATTGAACTGTATTTTGATAGACTACATTCAATGAAACTAATTAGCGTCCAGTAGCTTTGGGAACAAGGAAAAAGGGAAACGAGGAGGTGGAGAATAAGCGAAGGATGGAGGGGGGTAGGGTAGTTTACAGCTTCCTGAACAGCACTGATCTTTTCTAGAATCCCCAGGTAGAATATATGCCAGGTCCGTAAACATGGGAAGAAAAACGGAGAACCAGAAAAAACTGTGGATGTGAAAGAATAGGTCAAATATGGAGGATACCAAAGCAAATTGTCTCTTTACTTTGAATTATACATAAAGGGGCCTTGGTGATTTGTTTCTCTTTCTGTTGGAAACAGAGTTAAAGCCAAATGAAAAGTTGGTTCAGTTCTTTCTAATCATTTTATCTGCCTGAGTAACTTGGGCAAAGGACCTCTGAATTACACACCCCTTTGCAGATATGTTCTCATGTTAGAGAACTTTACAAAATCCAGTGATGGTCAGTAAAAACAATGTGTTCGTTGTTTTTCAGATACTGTAGCAGAATGTTGGGCCTTAATTAGTTAATACAAATAGACATTTACCTAGTTCATAAGACCAGAGCAACTGGGGACCTCAGAGAAGATGATGTCACAACAACCAGAGCATGTAAGAGGCAGAGATGTGAGTCAGGAAGCCAGAGACATAGGTAATCATGACAATTCACCTCCATAAAGCTCACTCCAGTCCCATATAAACCCTTGTGTACACCAAAATGACTAGAGTGACTGTCACTGTATCCATAGCCCCCACCTCTTTAAATTTCGTCACCACCTCCCAGTATTACCACACTGAGGACCAAGTTTTGATGTGTGGATACTTGAGGGGTACACATACTCCCAACAGCTGAACCACAGAAAGCAGGTGACATGGAAAGGTAAGAGCTATATCTTTCTTCGGATGCTTTTAGTAAGGTTTTGTTTTGGTGGATGTGTAGTATTTCCTTCGTCGACACTGAAATAGATTTCTTGATGAGTTGTCTGTGTGTTATAACCAGGTCTCAATTCCGTCTTGCTTTTTTTCCAGGCCACATCAACAGCAGAAAAGACAAAAGAGTGGCCTGGGCGAAGCCAAAGCATGGAGAAATGCCTTTAGTTATTATTACCAGAATAAATGAAGAAACTGCACGCCAGATGGGTGTACATTATCTATCCAACTAAAAAAGTGTCTTGTTAACAGAGATAAATGGTCTGAAATGGCAGAACATTTTCTTGCAATTTTAAAAAATAATAGCAGCAATATTTCAGAGGATAATTTTGCCATTTTTTCAAGGTTTCTGCTAAAAAACCGCATTTGATATTGATAGATATATCCTTAAAGTGCTCATTGGCACATTCATAAATATGTGAAGCTGAAAAGGGATTTTTAAAAATCTCAACTCTAATAATCTACTTGGAAGCTTGAAGACACAATCCAAGTGGCCAGTTGTCTGGGTCATGCTGCATGTGTTTCCGTTACTCATCTGAACACAGAGCAGAGGCAGTATGGTGCAGTGAGCCCAGCTATAGAAATGACTTTGGATGTGTCAAATGTTGTGGAATCAGTTTTCAAGTATCCAAGAAGTAGATAAACATACCACATGGGATTGCTATAAGAATTGCTGTGTTCACATGTTCCTGGAGACCAGGCTTCCGACACCATTCACCTCATTTATGAGACAAGGTCTCTCATTAGCCCAGACCTACCTGTCCAATTAGGCTAGGATGACTGGCCAGCAAGCCCAAGGATCACCCATCTCTGTCGCCTCATCCCGTGGCAGAGTGCATGCTCCCACACCCATCATTTCTGTGTGGATTCTAGGGGATCAAACTCAGGTCCCTGTGCTTGCAAGGCGTGCACTTTACTGTCTAAGCCATCTCCCAAGCCCTATCATGAACTTTTATAAAAGACTCTATTCTTTCTGGTGCCTGCAAGTTGCCACTGAAGGATTCACTGCTCAGTAAGTGTTATTTGTACGAAGTATCAGAAGGGTTTTCTATTATATAAAAATAAAGCTTCTCATATTCCACAATTTTACCTTTTTTCCAATGTTATGGGTATATCACTCCACTTGGGACAAGGACCCAAACAAGACTGCTGGCATAAATATATAATAATAAAAAAAAACTATCTCCTTATATAGTCCTTGGCCTAGTTAAATCTATGCTAAGCTTAAGATCCATTATGAATATAAAGCCATCACCTTCATTTGCATCCAGCTATATCTGTAGGCAAAAGCGGTTGTTTACTAGAAGAAAAATACAATTAATTTCTGAGATGTTTTATTTTATTTGGAAAGCCTCATTTCTCTGGGAACATAACAATGACTTACTGATTTATAAAGTGCTATACTTTAAAGGTAGTCAAAATACTTTCTTTACAATTGTGATGCCCTGCATTTCTAATACCTTGCTGGAACATAAAAAAGCACCTTCAGAGAAGGCTTGAGCCTTTCTGTCTGTGTCACCTCAATTGCCCTGAGAGTCACACAGGAGCCTGGAGGAGGCTTTAATCTTCCCATTTGGCAAGTGGTTAGTTGGTTTGTTTAATTACTAGGCACATGTGACTTATCTTGACGATACCAAAAGAAATATCCATGAACGTGTGACATTCCAGGCTTTTAAAAGAAGGATGAAGGGCCTCCTTTGAAAATTATAGCCCCAATGTATGAAGCCTGGGCATTCTTATCGCACACAGGGGCATAGACTGAAGCATGAAATGATGGAATTTCTTAGGAAAAACAACTCTTGAAAAGGTAAGAAGTACCCACGTGTGGACCCCACAGTATTACATCACAATCCCCAATTTGCTCTTTGCAGCTCAAGTTGCAGTAGTTTACTTGAACTGAGGAAACTTACCATATTGAAAAGCTACATTTCAACCCAGTGTGGTGGCTAACAGGGAGGGATGGCAGCAACATCAGATTCAGATACCTGAAGAGGGAGACCTCTGGCACTGAAAGAGCCTGCTCTTGCATGTGTGTGACTAAATGGGTCTTTGAAGTGACTCTACCACAGTAGTGTTCTGCAAGGGGAAAATAATCTTCCCGAGACTAACACCTTCCTTATGCTACCCAAGCACTCATGATTGGAGCTGCCATGTTTTCATACAGCCTCTCTGCTTCCTGTTTTCTGGGCCAATCCTTGCACTTCCTGTGCTAGCCAAACATTTCCAAGCATGGAGTGGGAGATCCAGTCTCCCTCTTGTGGCCAAAGTAACAAAACAAAAAAAAAAAATAGAAAGTAAATCTTCACCACATGCCTCTCTAGAAACAGAACAAGAGCTGAAAAGAAGAAAATTAAGATGATTTGAAGTGTTTATCCAATTATTCCCAAGGCTTGACCCTTCCTCCCTTCCATATGTGGTTGCTCAACTTTGCCATGGTTATAGGCCTTGGTAAATGACACCTCTAGCCAATAGCTTGCTAAGGGTCAGTTTGCTGACATATTCAAACTCAAGAAATGACTCTGGTATTATTTACTGAGCTCAATTTCCTCTGAAACAAAGTGAGAAATTGTAATCTGATGAAACCCTCATCACTGGTATAAATGGACAATGGCTCTACCTCTGCAAAACACTTCATTTTGACAGCTCGATTTCATCATTTACTTCAGTTCTCTGAGTTTTAATGTCCTCATCAATGAAATGTTTGTAGTGAATGAAATCAGGGTGCTAATGCAGGCAGGAGAGGCACAGGATCCAGACAGTGGGCTTGTATCTATCTCAACTTCCTTCCTCAAGGACCATGGCTCTGCTTCAGAAGCCTTCTCAGCAGAACAACAAAATGGAAATTGACCTCTCATTCCTGGACTCAAAAGATCCTGTGTGACCATGATAATGCTCATAGCACACACAATTGAAGAGACCACATCAAATATCCATTTCATAAGTAAGGACATTTAGGCAGAGAGACATTTATGGTTTACTCGAGTCCATTCAGTTGCTTTAAACCCCATTCTGCCTCCACTATCAAGATCTGGGAAGGTGGAAGTAACTGGTAAACTGTAGAGTCTCCCTTTGCCCAGCCTGGGCACAGTGATCTTGACTTGGAAAGAGGGAGGAATAGAACTAGAGACTTGATGTCCTCTTTGCATGTAGCCTGGAAACCATCTCCTTCCCTTCCCTTCCTCTGCCATGCCCCTCCCTCCCCTGGCTCTTTCTTCACTGATCTCTCCCCTTTCCTGTCTCATCTACCGCTGGTCTAAATCTCCAATGCTTCTTCTGTCATCTCCCTTGTCTTTTTCCCCCGACCTTACTTTCCTCTACCTCTCTCCTCTCCTGCCTTTCTTCCCCCTTGTCTATCCCTCCCCTTCTCTGTCCAGTGACCCTGGCTCTTCTCTAGTTTCCACATCACATCAGTACCAGACGTGTGTACAACTTATTATAAGAATGACCCATTATTGCTTTTCTGCAGAGATATGCCCTGGTGGGTAACATTTCCAAAGGGGTTTAACTTGCCAGTGAGACATAACAAAATCAAAGTGAAACTAGTGCAGAAACCCACTTCAGATCCCAAGCAGAGATGCAAATTGGGGGTGTAAGCATGCCATTTAGTCAGCCATGCAAATTAGCACATGCTCACTTCTTGCCTGGGGCCCTGAAAGAAACCAGAAGGGGAGCCACAAGGAATTTCAATCTGTTCCTTTTCTCCTTTAGTTGACTTTTGGCCATGTTTTAGTTGGTATTTGCTTCTGTGGACGCCTGTGGCTGATGGTGACTTTTTTAAAAAAAAGAAAATCTGAACATTGAGAAGCAGAGGTGAAGTAAAACAAAGAAGTTAGATTGAAGGTTGGTAATGGCAAACCTTAGGAGTGAGCTAGGAAGAAAAAGTGCACAGAGAGAGAGAGAGACAGAGACAGACAGAGACAGAGACACAGAGAGATTCTGAGACAGAGTTGACTGGTTTGGCAATGCACTTTTGCATTTGTTTTATCCTGCTTTCTCTCTGTGTGTGTGTCTCTCTCTGTGTGTGTCTCTCTCTGTCTCTCTCTCCCTCACTCTCCTCCCCATGCGTGGGTGTGTGCATGTGTGCATGTGTGTGTGTGTGTGTGTGTGTGTGTGTGTGTGTGTGTGTGTGTATTTGTGTTAAAGATCACCATTTATAGTCATTGCTTAGGAGTTTAGGGGTTAGGAGGATTGTATTTAGTTTCAATTGTTCAGAACATGCTTTTCATAAAAACAAGCATCTCCCTCTGACAAGGGCTATAAACCTCATATGTCTCCTTTAGCTCTAGCTGAAGTACAACTATTAGGTCCCATTTATTTATACACTCTCCGTGAAGACTCCATTTCCCAATTATTGGAACAGTGAGTCAAATAAAAGCAAATGTTGCTGAAGAAAACGCATGAAAAGAGTCTCCCAATATCTGAAGAAAGCTGAGGACTGATTGAACCTGAGTAGTTGGGAAAACATCTCCACCCATGTCTACAACTACAAAACTGGTAGTAGGGCTTGGGAGTGAGGTCAAGAGTTTGGAGGAGCTTGGAGCAGAGGCAAGGAGAAGAGGGAATTTGTTGAAGTCAAGAGAGAGAATTATTATCTGATGTTTTCTCTGCAATTTAATGTTGCCAGGCCGGCATCTTGCACATCTACCCAGATTGAGCACATTGCTATTACAGAAGCGAAGCTTTCTTCTATGATAGATTAAAGAGATAATAGGTGAAACCAGCTGTAAGAAGCATCTGCCTTTTTGTTTTTGTTTTTCATTTCAAAGCAAGTGTCCTTGCAAGTGGGAAAATACAGGTCTAGAACTCTCATGGGATTGCATCCTAGGAGTGAGTTACCACAGTTTCCAAATCTGTAACTTGCCCTTAGCTCAGTGACTCCTTTCAACAATTTCACACTGGCTTCTTCCTCCAAAACATCATGGTCATGGGTGTGAGACAAATCTTAAAAGTTCTTATTAGTAAAAGTACCCTGAGTCAGATATTGGGGTAAAAACTGAGAGATCAGGAAACAGAAAAAAGTCAGCCACATTCTTACCACTAGAAATCCTCAGCCAAAGAGAGCCTCCTTCCTGTATACCCATGACTATATGCCTTTCTGTCCCTGCCCTCTAACTTCCTCTCTCTGCCCAGATATATCACTTCCTGTCTGTCAGTACAGACTTCCAGACCTCCATGGTTAGTGCTGGAATTGAAGACATGTGCCAC